TATATATATATATATATATATATATATATATATATATATATATATATATGGAATTGAAATGCTTCCAACTTCATTAACAATATGCTACTATAGTATCAATAAGCTCTATAAATTAACAATATCGAAATAATCATTTTAATCAAGTTTCGAAATTTTAAACTTTAACATTTCTACTTTACTTCATTTTATTTTGATCCTTCTATAAAATATATCTTGCATTAAGTTACTTATCATCCATATATTGTTTATGTTAAATCCTGCTAAATCTATTCAATCATACTTAGCATGTATCAATTTGATTGTTATTTTTGAATAATTTCATGCATTTCTTTCCGACAATTATCAAACATGCATAACTTTAAATGAATATCACGGATAAAAGTATTTAACTACAGTAAATACAATTTGACCTATTTCATTCAGTTCAATTTAATAAGTGAATACCTTCAGAGATATATGTATATATCAAAAGAATGTTATTTGAAGAGGGAGGAAATAAATTGAAGAATATTTATGGTATAATAATTGTAATGCTTTGTCATATGGCCTATTTTATTTTCTTTTAAAATCGATTTTTGTTTCTTTAGCTGAAATTACTCGAAATCATTAGTTCAGTGGTTGGTCAATTGGTCGAATGGTTGTTGATTGATTTTTTTTTTTTTAAAAACAATGTCTTCCTTGCTTTAGTGACCCCTATTACTACTATTACAACTATTATAACTATTACCATTACTACTATTGTTATTACTTAATGACCTCCATTATTACTATTACTACTATTATCACTCAATGACCTTTATTACTACCACTACTACTACTAATGCTAGTTGACACAAGTGGACAGAAGGATGAAAATGGAAAACAAGCAAGTAAATGATAATTTTTTGCACAAACAGATATTTATTGTTATTCATTTCTGACTTCAAGTACATACATATACGTATATCGCTTTTCGCTTATTATGTATCTAGATTATTCATTCTTCCTCATTGAATAAAAATATGAAATTAAACTAATTAAAAATTCCATTTTAAATTCCATTAATTTCATTCGAAATCAAATGGTTAACTTTGTCGCGATGCAGACGAAAATGATTTTATTAATCATCAGTATATCATACATTCTAGTGATAACACTATCAGATCATTTCCAATTTATTTTATCAATAACGAGGACAACGAACTTTACAGAAATTATGAGATATCAACAAAATTAAACAGCATAGTGATCAGTACCTATTAGATTATTTTGTTTATTGAATTTAAATTCAATATTTCTTTAAATGTCATTATATACTCATCTTGTATGACTTCGATGATTCATTCGATAAATAAAAAAAAGAGTTGACAAAAAAATGCGACAAAATAGGATGGATCACTTGCTCGTTGCTGAAAATTTAAAAAAAAAAAAAAAACCAAAACAATCTCCCTTGTTTTGTTGAAATTGACGATTGAACTGAACAGTTAGACCTTATTTTCTTTTGTTCTTTTATTCTACAAGAAAAAAAAATATTTGCAAAAAAAAATATTTGCAATATTTCAGACGAAATATTTTTTTTTCCAACTTTAAAAAGATATTTGAAATAAATTTAACAAATTTTTAAACAAATTGTTTACTATTTTGTTAATCCCATGTAATTGACACTGCAAGTATAAAATTTAACAGATAATTGAAATTGACATCTTTTGCCTCACTTCGATATTTTCTATAAACAAAAAAAAAAGTCTCTCTGAAATTATTAATTAGGAAGGTCTAATTAGTGAATGAAACCAGATTTAAGTCCAAATTGTTTAGATTTAAATTCAAACTTTTTGTTGGTCCCATTTGAAGGTGATCTTCGACACATTTGATTCCCTGTGATTTTATCTTCCTTAATTAATTAAATCATTTGTACCAATTATTTACTTCATCAATCCTAGTCTAGAAGCTTCATTTTTTTCCTTTTTTCTCTTTGAATATCAGCTTTCCATTTTTCAAAATGTATTTTCATGGCAAATATTTTTTACATTTTTTAAAAATGATAGTCAAATTTTTGTCAAATCCTTGTTTTTTTTCAAATTTTAAATAAACAATACAAAAAAAAAGTGTGGAAATTTGTGAATAAAAAAAGAGTTGACAAAAAAAAATTTTTTTTTTTTTT